CCGGTCAGTGCAAGCTTAATCGGTCGAGCTTATTTACCTGTCACCGAAGTCATCACAGGACAACCTGTAGACCGATGGCTCGACCTTTTAGACGAGCACAAGAGTCCTATCCAAGGAGGTTCAAAAATCCATGTACGTGTGACATTCACTAGCGTAACAAATGACGTGAACTGGAACAATGGTATCATTATACCTTCTTTCAAAGGTGTCCCTAACGCATTTTTCAACCAACGAGAAGGTTGCAAAGTTACGCTTTACCAAGACGCTCATGTTCTCGATGATTACCAGGATATTACCCTCTCGGGAGGACAAGTGATATATAGTCATCATCGGTGTTGGGAAGATATTTTCGATGCAATATGGGACGCAAAACATTTAATATACATCACTGGTTGGTCGGTCTACACGAACATAACATTGATTAGAGATCCTAAACGGCCGAGACAAGGAGGTAACCTAAAGTTAGGAGAATTACTCAAGAAGAAAGCTGAAGAAAACGTGACCGTTCTAATGCTTGTGTGGGACGATAGAACTTCTAACGAGGCATTCCAAAGAGACGGTTTGATGATGACACATGATCAAGAAACTTACAATTACTTTAGGAACACGAAAGTGCGTTGCGTTTTGTGTCCTCGGAATCCGGATAATGGTAGGAGTATTGTTCAAGGGTTTGAGGTGGCTACAATGTTCACTCACCATCAGAAAACTGTTGTGGTGGACGCTGAGGTGGAGGGGACGAAAACTAAGAGAAGGATAGTAAGTTTTCTTGGAGGGATTGATCTTTGTGATGGGAGGTATGATACTCAGGAGCATCCTTTGTTCGGTACTTTGAATAATTTGCATTCTAGTGACTTTCACCAGCCGAACTTTGATGGTGCATCGATTAAAAAAGGTGGTCCACGTGAGCCTTGGCATGATATTCACTGCAAGCTGGATGGTCCTGCGGCGTGGGATGTTTTGTATAATTTTGAACAGAGATGGATGAAACAAGGTATTGAAACAAATAACACTGGGCTTCAACAGTTTGTTTTTCCAGTTACATCTTTTAACGACTTTACCACGTGAAAAGAACATAATGAAACAAGTTATAAAGTTAACATGACTTTCTCCAAATAAATCTACACCAATAAAAACTTTAAATAGTTTTTATTTAAATTATTTACCTAAAAAACTTTGTTTGAAAATATATTTTAAGAAAACATTCTCTTCGTTTTACAAAGAAACTAGGTGTTTTGCCCGCATTTACGGACCTAAACATTTTAAAATTATTTTATTAATAATTTTTTTACTAATTGAAAGATAATAATGATAAAGTATTAATTTTGTTTTATTTTGTGAAACCAATAATATTTATACTTTCATTTAACAATTCTTACATATATTTCTTTGAAATTTATGTTCACTATTAAAAATAATTTTAAATCAAATAATTTTTTTTTCAATTATATAAAATTAAGAATTTTACTCGATTAATATTTACTTATGTATTTTATATTGTTTTGATTGTTAACTTTTTTATCAAAATATTTTTTTCAAATAACATCACAATATATATCGGAATTATCCTATTTAAAAATATATTATGTAGATTTTGGATAATTCTTATGATTATTATTAATTTTAGTTACTTATCTAATCAAAATAATTTAAATTCTTTTTTATTTTTTATGTCATTTATATATTATTTTCATTAAGGGTATAAACGATATTGACCACTCTAACTTTTAACGTGGGAGCTCCGTTGCGCAAAATCACTTCGCAAATAACAGTATAGATTTTTTTTTGAAAAATGTTTATAAAGATAGAATTGTGTGTTTTTTTATAATTTTTATAAATTAACAATAATAAATTGTAAATTTCAAGAAATTTAATTATATGTTTTCGTATATGTAGATACAAACTCATGAACTAATGTCATGATACATTGGTAGAACTTAAAACAATAATTTTTAGAAACTAAAAGCATTAATTATTTGTTCATTGCATACTAATTGTGTTTGTTTACAGGTAGTGGTAGAAGGTACCTAATATCAATGGAACGGCTCTCAGAGATCACAGTTCCACCGCTACCATTTATAAAATCAGACGATGTCGAAGGTTGGACAGTACAAATTTTCCGGTCGATAGATGATGGTGCAGTTATAGGATTCCCCGAGGATCCTCGTGAAGCATCAAGCATAGGACTTATCACCGGGAAAAATAACGTCATCGAAAGAAGCATACAAGACGCTTACATTAACGCCATAAGGAGAGCCAAACACTTTATCTACATTGAGAACCAATACTTCCTAGGAAGCTCCTTTGGATGGAGTTCTAGAGACATTAATATTAACGAGATCAACGCTTTACATCTCATTCCCAAAGAGATTTCTCTCAAGATTGTGAGTAAAATTGAGGCAGGTGAGCGGTTTTCGGTGTATGTCGTCATACCATTATGGCCTGAAGGGAAACCTGGTTCTGCTTCAGTTCAAGCGATACTAGATTGGCAAAGGAGAACAATGGAGATGATGTATACCGATATCGTCATTGCTCTTAGGAAGAAAGGTTTAGATGCAAACCCTAGAGACTACCTTACGTTTTTCTGCCTCGGCAACCGGGAAGTTAACAAGGCTGGTGAGTACTTGCCTCCGGAGAAACCAGCGGTTAATTCTGATTATGCAAGAGCACAAGAATCTCGCCGGTTCATGATCTATGTCCATTCTAAAATGATGATTGGTAAGTTTACCTTGCGTAACAAGGAAATTTAATTTCTAACTTAGGTTTTGGAGTGGGCCAAAAGCCCATAAACCAAGGCATGCAATTTTGGTTAGTACAGTTTATACGGCTCGGTTAGTTTTGGATTATTTATGGGTCATCGGATTTACCGGTTCAACCACGGGTCCGGGTCGGTGTGAAAATACCGTGCTCAACCTATATCTTGCTGAATTTGAACTGAAAAAGTTTGGTCTAATTTGGTTTATTATTATGTTAGTTCGGGTTTTAAAAGTCTTACCAATTTAACCGAAATTTTTTATTTTGGTCAGATTTTAGTTTAGTTTTGTTGAAATTTTAGTTTGGTTACTTTTTTTGGCTATTTCAGTTTATTTTTCCTTAGTTTAGTTATTTGATTAGTTTGGTTAGTTCGGTTTATTTTTTTATAAGAGTTGGTAAGGTTTGGTTATAATTGTTATTTGAAAAAATGAAGTAAGCGGTTACCAAATCGGTAATTAACCAGTGTTTTAATCTACCGAATTGAACCGAATTCCTAACTAAAAATCAGAAATTTCTGTTCGGTTGAGACAAAAATCCCAGGCCTACATGACCCTGTCAAAGCCAAGCTCCAAAACCTATTCAAAATAATAATTCTCATAACATACAACCTTTTTTTTTGTCAGAATAAATATACAGCTCCTAACTTCCTATTTCAATGCAGTTGATGATGAATACTTAATAATAGGATCAGCCAATATTAACCAAAGGTCTATGGATGGAGGTCGTGACTCAGAGATCGCAATGGGAGCATACCAACCTAACCATTTGCTATCTACCAATCAAATGAAGCCGACAGGTCAAGTATTCAGCTTTAGGATATCTGTATGGCTTGAACATCTACGGATTATAACCAATCCATTCATGTTCCCCGAAAGCGAAGAGTGCATAAGATTGGTAAATGCAAAGGCAGACGAGCTATGGGGGCTATACTCAGCACAAGTGTACCCACGAGATCACGATCTACCGGGGCATTTACTTAGTTATCCGATTAGCATTGGCACCAACGGGGAGGTAATAAATCTTGCTGGTGCTGAGTTGTTTCCTGATACAAACGCAAAGGTTTTAGGTGAAAAATCTAATTATCTCCCTCCCATCCTCACTACTTAGGTGATGTAACACTTGCAACTATATGCAAATGTGTAATTTCGTTATGTTAGTAACTCAAGTTTAAATAAGATTTGAGATAACATAGAAAAGAGTTTAATAATGTGGAAAAAAACGAGTCTGGACCGTTCATAAACCTTTATTAATCAAACTTATGGATAACACACAACAAAGAAAACTCTTCAGACTTTTTTTCACAGTATCAATAACTGAGATGGTGACATAACTCTACTTATCCATTTAACACTGCCGACACAAATACCATCCATGTTCACTCATTAATGTTTTTCTTTTCTTTTTGTTGTATATTCTCAATATTTTTTTTGGTAAAATACAATTTGTATTGATAGTCACTAATCAATCAGAAACGAACCAAACAACGTCCTCTCCTCTTGCTTTAGCTTGGAAATTCTCTACTTTTATAATAAAATCATGACAAAAACAAAAGGAAACAAAATGTTCGTTGACAGAACATAAAAAGCTATGCCTAATCAGTAATCACATTGGCTGTCACATGCACGAATCTCTTTCTTCTCTGTATGCTTATTAAAGCAAAATATAAAAAAAGGAAAACTTTTGGGAATTAATGCTTTTAAAATTACTTTTTCAACAAGCAAAATTTTAATTTTAGATATGCCACTATATATTTTTTTATTCTAATAATTTATAATTGTTTCTTATAAAAATTATAATTTATAATACTAAAAAAATATTAAATAAAAACAGAGGAATTTTTGATTATTATATTTGTTTTGCACAAAAAGTTTAATTATTTTATAGATAAATTCTTCTTTTAATAAAAGTTAGTTATAAAGAATAACTGACAATTTTAAAAAATGATAACTTTTAAAAAAGGAAACTGATAAATTAGAAAACTGATAATTTTAATTGTGCAAATATCAGTTTATTTTATTTTTATTTATTTTCACATTTTTTATTATTTTCAAAATTATAAAACTAATAATTTTAATTGTTAAAATATCGTTTATTTTATTTATTTCCACAGTTATTTTGATAAAAAAAAATTTGTGAATTTTTTTATTTTTTTAAATGGAATTTTTCTATTCCTTCTTTTTGGGGAGTTGCAGAACCACCACACACGCATACACACAAGTTGCAGGAGAAAAAAAAAAAGTCGAATAAAAAGAAGAAAAAAAAAGAAGAAGACAGCTCTGTTCTTGAATTCTTGAATCAATCAATCAAGCTGCTAGGGAGGTGGCTGAACAAAACCCTTATCCCAATTTCCCCCGAATATGCCATTTCTGAGGTTATTTTCCTTAATTTTCATTCATTCATCAGTGATTGATTTTTGGCAAAAAAAAAAAAAAAAAAAAAAAAAACAGAGTAAAAATTGAATCTTGAAATTTGCAGGATTGTGAGACTCCTCTTACCTGGGATCATAGTGTTGATTAGAAGGTCGTTACTTTGGTTACTGTAGATGCATATCCGTGAATATATTCCTTCTTGGATCTACCAGTTACTTGGTTGCATGGGGTGAGTCAGGATCTTTCTTCCCTTTATCTTGTGAGAATTGAGTAAAGATTTGAACTTTAAGTATTTGAATTTGACCCATCATTTTTTGAAATCTTGTGGCTATATTAANTGTTGATTAGAAGGTCGTTACTTTGGTTACTGTAGATGCATATCCGTGAATATATTCCTTCTTGGATCTACCAGTTACTTGGTTGCATGGGGTGAGTCAGGATCTTTCTTCCCTTTATCTTGTGAGAATTGAGTAAAGATTTGAACTTTAAGTATTTGAATTTGACCCATCATTTTTTGAAATCTTGTGGCTATATTAATTCCTTTTTATTTTGTTGGTTAGGTTAGCTTCTGCTGTGATCTCTCTGTATGGGAACTTTTTCATATAGTATATGGTTGTTACTTGCATTTTAAGCAAACAATATGGATTCAAAAGCATCTCTCAAGTTTTAGTTTTGTATTTCTGTAGTAAATGTCAGTTTTAGGTTAGGTTAGCTATTGCTATCTCTCTGTACTGAAACTGAGCATAGTATTTGGATGTTTCTTGCGTTTTAAGCAAAATATTTGGATTCAAAAGCATCTCTCAAGTTTTGGTTTTGCTTACATATTTAAAATCATTAGTTTCAAGAACAGGTCTCCACACGTTTTCTGCGGTTCTCTTCTAACTAGTGTTTTTGTTTTTATGGCAGTACAGAGGTTGTTTTGGATGCTGCAATAAACCACCGCTTATAGTTGCAGTGGATGAGCCGTCTAAAGGGTTAAGGATTCAAGGTCGTTTAATCAAGAAGCCAAGCGTATCAGACGATTTCTGGAGCACAAGCACATGCGAGATGGATAACAACAGTACAATGCAGTCACAGAGAAGCGTGTCCTCTATCAGCTTCACTAACAACACTGCTACTACTGCTGCAAGTAGTAGCAACCCCAATGAATTTGTAAACAACGGTGAGTTCATTCTCATTCTTGTTATACAGTGATGTAGTTTTACCTTAAAGAAATGTTGTCTCTGATGTTTCTTTCTGGTTAGGATTGAACCTGTGGTTACAAACTAGACAACAGTGGCTTGCAAGTGGATCTTCTCAAACAAAGGCCAAAGTTCGAGAACCTACAATAAGGTTGGTGAAAAGTTAACTTTCTTTTTCCCTTATGCATTAATCTTTTATTAGTGTGGTAGTTCTTCACTGTAATTGTATCAAGAACAAGAATCAAATAGTGTGAATAATCTGATTGTGAAATTCACTAATGCACATTCACATATATAACATAATTATAAGTTTGCGGTATAGATTGTCATTCTTCTTTTCAAAACATTTGTTATTTACAAAAAAAAAATCATGTCTTAGCATTCCAAAGACTGTTACAAGAATGGTGTCTTGTGAATTTGTGATTGATTTTTTTTCTTGTTAGTTCTTAAGGCTCTTCTTAGGTTAATAGCCATTAGAGTTCTTGTCCATTCGGATCACTCTTCAAAACCTCATCATGAGTTATGATTTATGCAGCTGGAATGCAACATATGAGAGCTTGTTGGGTATGAATAAGCGGTTCTCTCGTCCAATACCTCTCCCTGTAAGCACTTTTTCTGCAACTTTTCAGACATTTTTTTTAAATAAATGTGATATTGGAGTTTGTTGATATATATTGATTGTGGCAGGAAATGGTGGATTTTCTGGTGGATGTGTGGGAGCAAGAAGGCTTGTATGATTGATTGCAACTCACAGAATACTTAATCTTCTCTCTTTTTCTTCTTCTTCTTCTTCTTCTTCTTGTGTGTGTGTTGTGTGTAATCAAACTTGGCTTCTTGAAAAGTATTTATAAGCTCAAGGAACTAAAACTATTATACGTTCAATAGAAACACCAATTTTTTGTTTGTTTGTGTGTTTGGTATGTGTTAAACACGTTATTGCAATAACTCAGAATTGTATTATATTTTATAATTTAAGTATTTCCTTCCGTAAATGAACTTTTCTTAGAGATAATTTGGTTATTTTCCAAGTCACTCGAAATGTTTTATGTGACTAGTGACGATAATATGACGAAAACTTATAATCTCTCCGTTTCAATTTAGTTGTCGTTATAGAGAATAAAAATTTCGTTTTAATTTAGTTATCTTTGTAAAGAATAAAAATTGTTTTACAATAAGTATCGTTTTATTATTTCAATCCATAATTTATTAGTTTTATCAATTTCAATCCAGAATTTATTAGTTTTATCTATTTTTCTATTTTCTCATTAATTGATATGTGGTTAGGTGTATAGATAATATTTTTATTTTGAAAATATATAAAATTAAAGATTTTCTTAAGTTGTGTAGATAAACCTAAAACAACGAATAAAATGAAATGGAAGGTATACATTATTTCATGTTTTGAAAAGAGTCAGTTTAGACTTTAGAGATCTTCTTTATTTCGGTTATATATATATATATATATATATATATATATGTCTCTCTACTAATTCCATCACCATCCATGATCAGTTCTGATTTTCTGCGTTCGTTACTCTGCTTAGAAGATATTTTAGCATATATTTCAGAAAATATGTTGAATATTTTGGCATACAATTCATTTTTCTTTTATTTTAGTGGTATAATAATATTTAACCAAAAATATTGCTAATAAATAGTAAATTTGATTGTAAGTGGACCACAATCAAATTTGATAAAGGTCCTTTATTATACTATATGATATTTCTGTAATCAATTATACAATTTCTTGGAAATATACATTTAATAAAAACTTTTAGAAAGATAAACAAACTTGAAAATTTTTGAAATTCACTTAGAAAATTAAATAACTATAATGTGAAGACAAAAAATACATGACATCTGACAGTAAAATTATATGAAAAGGTACGTTTATATCAAAAGATTTTAATAAGAAAATATTATCGAAAAACATATGACATCAGTTAGAAAGTTAATGAATATAATGTGAAAAAAAAACAAACATAATATCTCTAATGATCAAAAATATGATAGGATGTCATGTTTGATTAGTTTCACATTATAAAATTATACTTTCATAATTAATTATACAAAAAGTTATGAATTTTTTTTTTAATCCAAAACTTTTAGAAGGAAAAATAACTCTAAAGATTTCTGAGATCCATTAGAAGGTTAAAATAAACATAATGTAAAAACAAAACAAACATGACATCTCTAACAATAAAATACATGACAGGACATCATATTTGATTAGTTTCACATTATCTAATTATGCTTAAGAAAAACATATTAATCAAAAAAATTTAGAAGACAAAAGAACTTTAAAAATTTTGGAGATCAATTACAAAACTATATAAAAATAATATGAAAACAAAACAAACATAATATCTCTAACGATCAAAAATATATGACAGGACATCATGTTCAGTTAGTTTCACATTATTCAGTTATGCTTCTATAATCAATCTCTTAAAAATTTAAATAAAATACTTTTATCTGAACAAAAAAAAAGGAATACGATTTAGAAGGAACTTTTGTAAAATAAATATTTAGAAAATCGTTTTTATCTAGTTTGATAATTGGTTATTTTTGCTTGTGTTTTGCTTGTTTTTGGCTTTTCTTTTTTTTTCAACTAAAAACTATCTTGCTGGAATCAAAGACAATTGGAATCAGTTTAATAATAGGGAAAATTGTTTTTAGGCCAAAAAAATGGTAACATTGTCTCTTTAGGCTAATTTTTTTGTACCATTTTTCCTATAATGCCATTTACTAATTTCGAAAATAAATTAAATAAATATTTTTAGAAACATAAAAATCAAAAAAAATAATAACAAGTTATGAAACACCAATATCAATCTAGTGATATTTTTTCAAGTTCTAAAAATGTATAAATATTTTTTTTCAAATTATGTTCTACATAAAGTAGAAGTGGCATTCTACAAAGTAGAAAATGATACTTTTTTCATTGAATATACAATGTTTAGAATACAGATTCCGCGCTCAAACTATATTTTTAAAATCAATAAAAAACGGATTCTACACATTGCTATAAAATTTAAAATAGTAGAAATCAGAATCTACATTTTATTATGAATCTAAAACATGTAGGACCTGATTTCAAACATTATTTATTGTATTCTACATATAGTATAATAAACATTCTACGGATAAGAATATTCTGTTCCGCAAATATAGGAAGAAAATATTTAAAAATATTAAATTGCCATAAATAAAATCTATTTTTTGATTAAAAAGTTAGAAAAAAGTAATTTTTTTAGAAAAGAAAAAAAAAATTGATTTGGGAACTCACGCCGGATGGATCGACCGACTGTTCCTGGGATCGATCGATCCCGTCAGATATAGCAGTTTCTTCTTCTCTTTTTTTTTTTGCGATATGAGGATTTTTATTTTTAATATTTTTATGATTTTTAATTGAATTTAAAAGCATTATTACAATTTAGAAAATATTTTGCCTAATGGGACATAAAGTATCAGAGATTAGTGTAAAGGGATAATGTTACCATTTTTTTGGCCTAAAAAACTATTTCCCCTTAATAAATTATCACAACAAACAAAACCACCCCTAAGACAAAGTCCTTAACAGAACCCGTTCCATTCTTCTGTTGTCCTGTAAGGATCGAAGACAAAAGATACAAGAACAAAGGTTGTATTATTTGGCAGGATATTCGTATAGTTACCGTCTGATATTCACTACAGTTTAACTTAAAGACTTATTATTTGGCAGGATATTTGTATAGTTACCGTCTGATATTCCACAGTTTAGCTTAAAGACTAAACCAGTTTACAACATGAGTTGTAGCAGGGAAACGACTTTTCAGAGACAGAAATACAAAAAGTAATATTTCAACCCCTATCATACCATTTCCTAACTAATTGTAGCCAAGTATACAGTTAAAACATTTTTGTGAACAAAAAAAAAAAAAATCTTTCAAGTAGTAGCTGAGTACTGAATTATATCCAACAAGAAAATAAACATAGGATGAGTGAGATACCTTGATATCTGTTAGCTCTGGCAATCGTAACTTTTTTGAATCTTAAGATATATTTGCTGAGATATTTCGTTAACTTCTTTTGCAAACAAGCCCCATTGACTTTCCAAGCACACTTACAGGGAATGAATAACTCAAATGTATAAGTGTTATTCAATCATGTATTTTAAAAGAGTTTAAATCTAAACACAATCCATTGTTATTCAATTGATGATTCTAAATTCTATTTTAAAATTCAGTGTTATTCAATATATGATTGAATTTCAGGTTTTAAAATCTGGTGTTATTCAAATTTTAAGGATTTTAAAATTCTTTGTAATATAAATGGATTTAAAATCATTGGTGATGGATTCTAATGAATAAATGATTAAATTCAAAATCCAAGGGGTATTGTAGAGATTTAAGAATCCATCAACTTTAAGAATCTTAAAATTTTAAAATTTGATAGATTGTAAAATATTTAAAATTGATTTTAAATCACTAATTGAATAACACCCCCAAGTCTCCTATTTGAAGAATCGGATCTCGAAATGTTTCTTTTCCGCCTGTTCAAATTTATGTCAAACACTAAGGAAACTTGAGATTCGCTTAGCTAATTGACGGATAAACATTTCCTACAATGAGTCTTATTAGGTCGTTGTGAATCAGATTTTGACATTCGGAAGCAAACAATTTACAAATTAATCCAAGTAAGAATGTTTCCAGGAGAATAAGAGAAGACGCTTTGCCTGAAACTGGAGATTTTCTCCAAGACTCTGATCAATTTGAAGTTTTAATCCGTCCGTTACCGGGTCACCTAATATTGATTTTTTATTTTTGTTCGAATAGTGCACTGACCTTAAATTCTAAAAGGAAAAATATCGTAATAAGGACATTATAAACATTTGCTTCCTTACGTTGAGACAGTCTAATAAAAATTAGCTAATAAGCCTTTAGGGAATAAACATTTGATATTTGTACCCACAAAAGGCTTGTGTCATGGGAAATGCAAAAGGATGACGAAACTGAAGTCACTCTCAGTAATGTTGGACCAATGGGCCTGAAGCTGTTGGAAATAGTTGTCCTGATCAAATGCTTGTTTGTTTCTAGCAAAGAACTTGTCGCTTTAGCAAAATCTGCACATTGGAGTCTCTTAACCTTGATGGATGCAAGGACATTACTCATGCAAGCCTTGGAACACTAGCCAAGAACTGCTATTCGGTCAATGACGTTGACATATCAAACATTTCGGTCTAAGATCATGGGATCATGGCTTTAGCATCTTCTCCCAACCATTACTGACAAAAGCAAGGCATGTCTACCAAAGGCTATTATGTCTGTTTCCACTTTGTTTGAGGCATTATATGTACTAGTGATCATTGTATAAAGCTTCCCTGAACATACTATCCTTTGTAATATAACATGATCCTTAGATCATTTTGTTGTGATTACAAAGTTAAATAAATGTATCCTGCGACCAAAAATCTTACCAATAAAAAACAAAAACAAAAAAGAATTCATTCAGTCGTCTCTCCAAGTATCTCTCAAAGAGTAATAGCTTTTGTCATTGCCAAACCCACGAAGCTCCTTCAGACCAAAAGCAAAGCAGCAACCATGGACAGTGGTTAGACCAGTCCTGTTGTCTCCTGGAGAAGCTTCCATGTCACCATCCTCGTATATCACCAAGCTTCCTTTCTCGAGAACATCCCAAGAGTCTTGATCAATCTCCTCCATTCTATTCACTTCCTCAGCTTCATCTTTTGGTCCTACCCTCTCTCTGTTATTAATTTGTAGCATAACATATTTTCGTTAAGAATCAAAAAGTTGTGGATTGTCACAATCACAAATGAAAAGTATTAAAAACATTGTTCACCAAGAACCAACTAGAAAATAATTAGACTTTTTTTCTTTACTCCCCTAGACCTGGAATCAGCTTTTAGATATTCTGATTTAAGGAATTATCTTCCGAAAAGAATTAGACTTACAAATTCTTTTGTTTGGATTTTCTAGAGTATCCCTTGTTCAATATGGCATTGCCGGACACATGGTTCTTAAATCTTACCTGAAACATATATGTAACAATGTCTTGTTATGTACTGAATCTTTACACCTGCCTAAACCTATAACAATGAGATGGGATAATTAGATATAAAACCTCATCACCGTCCTTCATGCCATAACTTCCGATGCACTCCGTATCGGTGACTAGCTTCTGACCCCCATAACACAAGCAGAAATGTCCCCACACGTGTGACCTTCACCATAGAATACACTTGTTTGAAATTTTACATTAACCATAATAAAAGAGAAACATGTAAGTAAAGTACCATGAGATCTTGGAAGGTCCCTTCTTCGGGACGTGGCTGAAGGCAGTCTCTATGGCTAGCTTGAGATCTCTAACGGTTGCCGAGCTCGTTACATTAACATCTTCACGTAGTAAATATATATTAAAATCGAAGCTAGCCAAGGATTATTGATAATTAAGTAGAGACGATAACTAAAAGTAAAAGATAATATGATATTGATGCATGTACCGAAGGATGAGCCATCTAGTTTGAGAACGGAGAGCCTAATGGGTTCGGGGGGAAGTTTATCGTATGAAAAAGTCCGGCGATGAAAGCTTCCCATTGTTCTTGAAACAAGATCAATGAAAATCAAGAAACCCTAGGTAACACGATATTAGCATCCTCTGTGATGGATTAGGGTTTAAAGATTACTTTACTTGGAAGGGATGGGATGGTCAAGTGAATCTTTGTATCGGATTTTAAATTCGAAGGAGTGTTTCTTGCTATTGTCTGATTCGTTTGGGGTTCGAATCAGACCACGCAGTTTGGTCTGATGGAGGTTCTTACGATTCTTTTGTTTTGTTTGTTGTTGCGGAGATTCCTTGTTGGGGAAGTTAGGGTTGACCGTGTTTCTTGTAATTTTTTCTCTCTTTCAATCATTCTTTTACTAATTTTACCATTTCCTTTTGCTAATAATATCGAATCTTTAATGTCAAGCTCCATTACAAAACGACAAGCTATAACGTCTCCTTAATAAAGTAGGCTTTTGGACTAATAGCAAACCCCTTTATTAATTAGAACATCTCTATCTATCCGTAATTATTTCAGAAATGATTTAAGCTTATTTGTGGTCTGATTTTAGAAAATCAGTTGTTTAGTTTTTTTTTGTTTTGAAAATGTTAAGCTAGTATATTTTGAATATTTTAATCCAGTTAGTTGATTTATATTTGATTATGTGATTGCTTAAGTTTGTGATTGATTTTGATGAGCACCTTTTCTTAACAGGCTACATATGCAAATTTATTGAAAAATGTCAAAAGTATTTTAAATTATCTAGAGAAGCTACTAGTTGGATTTGTGTAATTGTGATCTCTTTTGTTGCTGGATTTTTATGTACTCTCTGTTTGAACTTAAGTATTTGTATCCTAATTAAAACTTTGATTTATACCTATTTCAATTTTTATTTTAAATATTCTATTAAAATTAAATGTATAGCATATTTATGTTATTGTATATCTATTATTTACATATAATTTTTATATTTATAATATTTATTACTGTAGAATTATTTAAATATGTCTACCATATATACCTCATGGTAAACCGAAATCTTTTGGAAACAGAGAGTCCTGAGTACGTGGCAGTATCAGATTGGATGAGGAGAATGATTGTTGATGTGAAGGTGATAATGTTGATTTGGTTGCACACCAGGTGTTCGACCATTTGCTTCTAAGGTGTTGTAAGATGAATCAAAGGGGAGGTATCAAAAGGAAGACTGGACTTTTCAATTACAAACTTAAGAAACGAAGCCAGCGTCTCAGTGTCAAGGTTTTTACAGCTTCAGGTGGTTGTTTGTAACCGTATCAGAGTGATGTTTGTGTTTTAGAGATGTGTACTAGTAAAATTTTCCAAAAACTGGTGGTTCAAGGTCAAGTAGAAAGTGAAGATTTTTGTGAAGGTAAGGAGAGCAGCCACAGGTTAAGCAAGAGAAGCTGCTCATGTCCACAGGTTAAAAACTAAGTCATGGAAAGTAATGATCTCTGATATATACTTCTTTTCATATTTTTGGGTGTTCTTGACAATGGTAGTTACTGGTCAACAAGCAGATGAAGAGGCAAGGACTTAAAACTCTGCTTTTCTCAGTTTGAATCTATTGAATCGGTATTAGTATTTGGGTTCATGATGATCCTTTCCGAAGTGTAGATGGTGGATATTGATTGAAACATTGAAACAGGACAAGGCATATTTTTTCCGAAAGCAATCATGGAGCAAGGAAGAGATCAGTTTTCGGCAATAGCGTGACTACTTGTGCAACACAACAATTTTGACGTGTGTCTCAAGTTAAGTTTTTTTTCCTGCCTCCTTGCGTGCAGATAATAACACTATTGGATACACTGGTTTCCAATAATATTTGAACTTTTTTTGTATGATATATCAATACACATTATGTATTTATATTTATTTTAATGTTTTGAACTCCATATTTTCAGTAATCGGTGGTAGTGATCAAGGATGATATTAGACGAAGTGAAAAAAAAAATATGAATCTACTTAACAAAAATATGATTATACTTTTTTTTTTTTTTTTGTGGTCTAAATGTTAATATGATTATACTTGGAACAACGAAACACAACTATTCTGTTCCATCCGAAAATCTGCAATTTACAGAATCTGCTTTTATAATGTCTTAGTTCACCATTTGTGCTCCACTTGATCGCATTACAAGAGAACTGAGTTCCACTTTGAGTCACATCCCAATCCTCGTTGTGAATAGAAACTGAGAGTACACGGAGGATTGTTTCATCATTCTTAAGCTTTGAAATAGTTTCTTCCTCTGCACTAATCCATAATAGACAATTGAACAAAAATATGGAAACTTGATTATCAGTTTATGAACAGCTTCCTTTATGAGAAACAACACTTGATGTGGAAAACAATTCTTAATCAGTGCGTCTTTCATCAATAAATTAAAACTTGTCTTCTGTTATTTAATGCATATATCTATATAACTACAGTATGATTATGTAACACTGAAATTCACATTAAGACTAAAAGAAAATCTATTATTAGAAATGTCTTTCTTTCTTATGTCGTAAATCACACGCTTTACTTCAGTAATCCGTGATCATTGCCTTAGCGTTTTAAAAAAGAATGAAATACTCTCAGATTCTTTGCGTGGATGCCTTATATATGACTCATGGATCATCAGAGCATTCAAGCTTCAAAAATTCACTAATATTAACAAAACTAGTCTGGACTGATGATATTAAACATTAAACAATAAAAGAGCAATTGTTTGTTTGCAACATAAAGTAAAATAAAACTTACTAAATAGCATAATAGGCAAAACACAATTAGATAATGATAATCAAGTTTCCAAGTGCATGATGCTTTCACACTTATCCATAACCTTGATTTCCATGTACGTCCTTTCTCTAATGATATTAATCTTTCTCAAATCATTCTTTATCAAATCGTAACCGAAAAGATAACAACGATGAGGAAACTCCAAGATAACTTCATTGTTCTGACCTGTACCATGCAACCTCGTCCAACCAACAATGATGTCATCTAATAGATGCCTCTGACAAGGCTTCAAAACCAGAGACTTCCTGGACCATGTTCCAACCAGACCATCCTCCAAGACCCACAACTCCGACACACCCGTTTCTTTAATAAGTGTATAATCAAAGAGTGTGGGTTTCCCACCATGCTCTATGAAACGCACGCGCCTACCCATCGCAGACACCTCATGTGGTGTTTGGATCACACGCAACTTTTCAGACCTAACGTCAAAACAGTAAATGGCATTGATACGCTTATGATCGGAAGCCAGATAATATATAACTCCGTTGATACATAGTCCTCGTTCCCAAGGAGTGTGAGGTTCAGCATCATCCTCAATTCTTTTCCAAAATCCTCCTGGTTCCAGTACGAAGACCCAAAACTTGGAGGTTTTCCAACTCTCAAAAACATTGCAGACTATTTTGTACTGATCAAGAACAGGATCGTGTCCAAAAAAGTAGTAGACATGCTTATGAGGACGTTCTTGTTGAGCACAAATGTTGGCTGGTAAGGTTAAACTTTGTCTAGTGGCGGGATTGTAGATACATGCTTTTCTGCAAAAAGTATATAAAATCAAACCTCGAAGAATCACCATCCCGTCTACTCCCATGTCTTCCATAGTTGGTGAAGGCAAATCTGGCCTTAGCGTTGATGATTCAAAACAATCACTGGAAGGCAACAATGTTAATGATAGCTGTTGAGACTTTATAGGGTCCACTTGGTTAGAGTGTGCCACAAAATTATTATGATTCAGGTATAGAAGAAGTGGTTGTCCAGATGTAGATGATGATGAGACCTTCTTCCTAAAATAAAGGTTGCTAAAATTTCTGGAACGGATCAGACCAGACCAAAGCTTTGAAACACACCTGAACCTCATAAGCGATTTAGCAGGCAATCTCCTCAGGATGTCGATCACGAGATCAAAAGGAATCTCTAGCGGCGCCACGAAGTCGTCTCTTCTTCTGAAAACCATAGTTATGTCTAATTCACAGGAATACATTTTCAGGAAAGACAAAACAGAGACACAGTTAAGGTAAGGTTCACCAGTTAGGGTTCACTTTTAAACCGCTTCAGCAAAAACGGGGTCGTCAAGGTTTGATGCTGTAATTTAACATACAATTGTAGATGGGCTTATTGATTTGTAATGAGTTGCTGGGCTCACGTTGAACTTTTATTAATTAGCCGGAACTTTCTAAATCATAGAGCACCCCATGAGAGGATGTCACATTTTTACCAAGAAAAAAAATATACTCTCTCCATTTCAGTTTAGTTGTCATTCTAGATTTTTGCACACAGATTAAGAAAACAATTAATTTTACATATTTTCAAAATAAAAACACAATTACCTATACACCTAACCATTTTTCAACCAATGAAAAAATAGAATGACTTTTAAAAGCAATAAATTTTGCATTGAAATTATAAAACGACACTTATTTTGAAACGAAAATTTTACTCTAGAATGACATTTAATCTGAAACGGAGGGAGTATAAAATAATGCAAAAGTTATGAACCCAAATCGCAGGGGATCACTGCCATAAATCCGAATCACTACTGTTTCGTGAGTCCGACACCACGTGACGGCTCACGGTTGGTCCACCTATTTTTTTTTAAAGTCAAAATAATAATAATAATAATAATAATAAATTCAATTGTGAACCCCAATCGGGGATTCATTAATGTTGATGCTCTAATTAACCGCTATCTTTAAACTTGGCCCCAATTGATTGAATATAGTATTAATTAGCCTTTGTAGATCATATAGCTAAATCATTTGATGGACACAAAACAGGCTCAGATCCTGTGCAACGACTGTGGGAAAAAATCGGAGGTGCAGTACCATGTGGTGGCTCAGAAATGCCCAAGCTGCAAGTCATACAACACTCGCCAAACCCGAGGCTGAACTGAAGCAGGCTTTTTTTTGAAACATGGCGTTTTCAAGTTGTTGCTTGCCATCAGATTCATTTAACTAAGAGCCTGATGCAGCTGCATCCTACAAGCTTCAACGGCAACTTTCCATATTTTGTTGTTTCCTTTTTATCTATGGCTTTGGTTTTCCATTACTATTAGGATATAGATTTTTATGACGGTTTAAGAGTCCTATATAAGGAACTCTCTTATGGCTTTATGAGATAGAACTTTGATACTTAATAAAACTAGCTTTTGCTTTATACCTTGAGAGATTTGATTCAATTCATCTTCTTCGAGAAGCCTTGAGAGAGATTCGATTAAATTCATCTAACTCAAGTTGCAGGTCTCTAGAGTTTTAAAACTAAAACCCTAGATTGAGCTGATATCCACTCTTACCCGCCATCAGAGCCATTCACTTGAGCCAATCTTGTTATTGGCTCCTTAACTTGAGGGCTTATCTCTCGAGTCTGGTATTATGTAATAAGGCCTTTGTCCAACTCTTGTGTTATCTGTTACTCCATCTATTTCAACATAATACATATTTTAGTTTTCTCACACATATTAATAAAACATCTATTAAATATATAAAATTTTGTTATTATTTTTTTCTCATAATTTTAAACCAATAAAATTTAGTAAGTGTAATTTTTTATTGAAATGTGCAATTGATCATTATTATTTAATAAACATGTATTGAAACAAAAAATGAATTTTGGAACAATTATTTTTCTAAAATATGTAATTTAATGAAACAGAAGGAATATTTAATAGTTTCTGATATAAAAAGGTGTTCGAAGTATATGTTCACAAAAGGAACAACTTATGCATGTAAAATACATCGACTGATAAAATTTCAAGATTCTTTTAAATTGTTTTGACAATAGCAAATTACAAAAGAAAATTGAAATCGTTTTTTACACATTACACACTATTGTAAAATTTCAACCTAATCAACGGGAAAATGAACATTTTATCCTGAAAATATTTGAAAATGGTAATTTTAATATTCAAGTATTGTTTGTCAATAATTATTTTCCAATTAATAGTTGAGGGCGCGAAATTAGAAACAAAATAACCAACCGTTAACTGATTAACAGAAAAATAACAGTTTTTGTTAATTTTTTAACGGTTAACTATTCTAATCATAATTTTGCGTAGTTAATAATTAGTTAAGGAATAAATATATGTATATAACTTGAGTATTTAATTTACTTAATAAAATACTTGAGGAGTTAAAAACACAATTTTTTTAAATCATAATTAAGAGTATTCTCAAGTTAGATATAATTAATATATGAGATTTTTATAATGATATGTACAATAATACAAATAGTTATAGTTACATTATCTTGTTGATGTATTTTTGTTAACAAAATTATTTAAGATGATTTTTAAAATAGTTCATAACTAAAAATATTCTTAACTTGAACAAATATACAAGATACTTAATCTCATGAAAAGATTTTGAGTTTTTACAAAAACATAAAATAAAGTAAAATAAGGTAAATGAATGTCCATCAAACATAAAATATAGTTTGTGGACAGAGAGTGACCATATCCATTAAAGACCAGTCCATTAAAGACCATGTCCGTCAAAAGCCCATTTTTATATAGGCTTCTATGGGATCCATTAATGACCATTTATGAAATTTTTTAGTCTCAATTTATAAACTTATAAATACAAATACATGTTACTAATGTTGAAATTCACTCATAAATCCACCAGTACAACTGCAGGGGCGGATCTATGGTATAAGGTACGGGGGCACGTGACTAGGGATGGCAATCAAAGACCTGGACCGCGGGCCTGGCCCGTAAAGACTTGCTACGGGGCGGGATTGGGCCTTCATTTGATAAGCCCGCAAAATTGCGGGCCTCGCGGGACGGGTTCAAAATGGGACGGGCCGAATGCGGGACGGGCTCAAAACGGGACGGGCCGAATGCGGGACAGGTTAACCCGCGGGATTTTGAAGACCCACAACCATAAGTCCGCATTTATGTTTGGTTTTGTTTTCAGTACTATAAATTGCCTTATTACTATGTGGAATTTTCTTGTTTAAGTTGATGAGTTTTGTTTTCAGTATTGCTAAATAGTTTTTTTAAAAAAATTAAATTTTGTTACAATGATGTTGTTAAAGAGTTACTGCTTGTTAAAGAGCTACTGTTTGTTCTTTAAACGGCTCGAAATGAGAATTTGGGTTACTACAGAATCTTGTCTTCACACTCTCAATTCAACAGCTTGGTTGAAAGAGAAGAAGAAACCATTAGTATTAAGTTATTGTTGCTATGAAGAGACGTTGCTTTATAAAGAATCAAACAAGGAATATTCTTGAAAGAGTTAAATTTTACTATCCAAATGGCTCTCACTTACTTCAAGACCATTAAACCAGCGAGTGATCACATTGGATGTTGTTGCGATCGATGTTGTTCAGCTCTCTTCAACTTCTTTAAACAACTCTTTTACTTTAACATTCATGAAGGAAACTGAAAGAGAAGTCCTGCGGGACGGCCCGCGAAGGCTTATAAATTATGCGGTACGGGATTGGGTAGCCATTCGGAAGACCGCAGCCCGCGCGGGACAAGCCCGCCATGACCCGCTCGCCGATGAGCCCGCTGCGGTACGGGACGGAACGGGACGGGAAAGCCCAATTGCCATCTCTACACGTGACCCCAACTACTTGATATATTTTGTTTAGGTAATACTTTTAATACTGATTCTGGTGGATCAATTGGTAAAGATACTGTTGCTATGTCTAAACCCTTACGGAGTTCGAACCCCCAACACGTTGCTTTTTAGGTTTTACCTCTTCTTGTACAATGAATGTTTTCCTACCTTTGTTCGATTGTTAATTATTTTTTCTTGTTGGCATATGTTTTTCTTTCTTTATTTGTTTTTTCATTGTGCTTTCTATTGTAGTTTATATTTTATTAGTGGTTTGTCCGCGCTTCGCGCGGATTGTTTGCTAATTGTGTTGGACTTCTGTTAGTTGAGTAGTGTGTATGTTATTTCATGTGTTAAGATATGTTTTGTTGAGCTTTCTTAGATTTGACACTTATCATAACAATTCTCTGTTCTCCGGCTCGGGTTGGTGTTTCTTCACCATTGTGCAAAAAATGTGAGTGACAAGGAAGATGAAACCTAAAATATATGTTGTGAGTTGATGTTTCATGCACTCAACGAAACAATACATTCGTAAAGGCATTGTAGATGTAGAGAGGCGATGAAGGTCCTCGGTTTGTTTATTTAGCTGTTTGACGTGACCTATGGGTTTGTCAATTTGTTTTATTTTAATGGCTGTGGCAGTAAAGTGGAATTGTTAATTTGAGGATTAATGATAAGCGTGTTCTCAAGGGTAATGGTGGACACTCTACAATGTCGTCTTCTACATTTTTTTTTTTAATTTTGTTATGTATTTTTGGCTTTAACGTGTTTATTATAACTTTCTGGTTGGAGCAGAAAGAGTATACTAACAATACATAGGATATGAGCAACATTAAGCGGTTTAGGCAAACTCAATCCAGTTTTGCTGTTATAAAATAATAATGTTGATTTTAAAATATTATTAATTTATAGAGATATTAATTTATAAAAGTCTTTTTATATTTTTTTCTATTTTTGAGTATTTTTATTTATAAATAAGAAAATATTTGATTTTACCTTACATACATTATTTAAATTTTATAAATTTGACTTTCATATTGTTTTATTATCTTATTTGGTGTATATTTTATGTTTCATAGAATTGTTCTGTGATATTGATATAATATTACTATTATTATTAAAATATATTGAAAATGTTAAGAAAAATAGAATTATTTCATTGTGAATATAAAACCAACAATATAATATTTAATTTGTACTTATATAAATATATATATAAATATATATATATATATAGATAAATTCTTAATTTTTAATTTTTAGTGGGACTATATATTTACATGAAGTTTTAAAAAAATTGTTATTTTATTATTTTATAATTTGTGTCATATTTTACATTGGTTCAAGATGGAACCGATAAAATTTATTAACTTATAGAGATTATTAATGTATTAAGTAT